TTTATAAAATAAATTTATACATATCAACTAACTATATCTAAATATCAATGATTCATCTTTGAAATAGTGTCTTTTTGCTCAGTTTTTATGTCAATTGATTTTATTTTTGTTTAAAATAATATTTCAATATGAGAACAAAATTTACACTACAAAAATTAGGTGCTAACGATGAGGCACATATTCGATTGTTCAGTAATACTAAAACTTGAACATATTTTCGTTTAAAGGAAAAAAATCTCTCTCTTTTTACCTTTCTCTCTCTTATTTATCAAAAAATTTAATGACGTAAAAAATGGGTACTAATAAGTAATTATTCTCTGTCAAAGCGAGCATAGCTCAGTAGTAATTAGTATATAATACGATTAAATCAGACCTTATAATAAATAAGTATTACAATCTTCATCTTAGACTTTAATAAATGTTGCAATTTTTACGTTCTCATTCAAAGAATGGTTAAAAGAAATATTTGTATATTTGTTTAATAAATCATAAAACATGTCTCATACCAAAATACTTTAGAGAAAAAAAAATCTGCGAGTTTTAGAAGATTTATTTAATGGTCAATGTATAGTAATCGACATGATTTCGTGCCGAGTTGATTTTCTAGTAACTTTCAAAGAGAGTTTATTTTTTATTTTATTAAATAAAACTAGTGGGTTAATTTAGCAAAATAATTTACGCTCCAAATTGACAATATCAAACCATTACAAAAATGTGGAGGAAGTCAAACTTTAATATTTTTTAGTTCATTTTTCAAAGATAAATGAAAAGTTTCTTATGATAATGGCTTAGTTTAATGAGTAGTGTTTATAATTAGTTGTTTATAATAAAGTCAAAAGTAGTTAGAAAAAAAAAAGTAGTTAATGTTTGTAATTAATTAAACATCAATTAAGGCACTGATTGGCATGTGCAGTGGTTGAGTATATAATATATATATATATATATATATATATATATATATATATATATTTATTTATTTATTTATTTATTTATTGCAATTATGGAACTGTATCGGTTAACAGTTGAAATGAAGCAGGTCAAAGGGAAGGTCTGGTTCGTTGGAATTTGATAACGGATTAGTTGGCCTGCCAATTGACTCTCGGTGACACATGGTAAGTGGTAACTTAGACAAAATTTTATGATATAACAATAGTAACTACTTCCTTCAAAACAAAAGAAAACAATAGTAACTACATATTTTGGTTCGTGCACTTTCAGTCTTTTATTTATTTTAGTACCTTTTTCTTTTGCTTTGTTTTAGTTTCTATATTTTCATAATGGTTATTTTGATTCATATACTAATTGCGGTCAGTCTCGCTATCTCTTTAGTTGCCGTCCCCTACTTGCTCATTCRAAATGACTACCACAAGAAAGTCGCTCCTATCTCTAAGGGGGCTTATGCACTCCACGACTTTCTTATGTTATGGAGTCTCGAAGACTGAATTTCGCTGCCAACCCTAGGTTGCAAGTGAAAAAGCCCTTTCTCATTTCTCTAATAAGAAGGTCCGCTTTGAAGCTCCAACCTATACAAGGGGCCTTGGCCTAGCTTACTAAGCGCTGGTTCGAGACCGACCAAGCAACCCCGGGGGTAGGAATAGTGAAAGAAAGATAAGGGGAAGAAGCGGGGTAGAGGAATTAAAAGGCGATCATTTTAGTCCTGACATTTTCATCTTTATCTCATTTCTCACAATTTTACTAATGACGTTCACTCATTGAGTTTATTGAAATGAGCCATAAATTTGTATTAAATGATTTTCATTGCCTATAAAATTTGTGTTAAAGTTTTGCAAAGAATGGATCAAAATATTTACTTTAAAAGTATAGAAAGCAAAACAGATGTTTTGAAAGTACATAGACTAAGATGAACAAACATTTAAAGTAGGGAGACAAAAATGAACGTTTTGAAAGCAAGAACCAAAAGGAACCAAAGCTAAAATACTAAAACAAAATAATTATTTTAAAAAAATAAATTAAAAAATTGGTAAATGAATTTTGAGAGGTGTGTATAGTAAATTATTTAATTTTTACAAATATTTAATGAATTTTTAAACTTTCAATGTGGTGTAAAACATAAAAATATCTAACATTCTTGAACTTTCAATTTTTTTTTGTAATTAATCTCTAAGATTTTAATTTTTATGTTTTGTAGATATCTGTCATTTTTTTAGTCTAGAAATCTATCAGACACAATTGAAAGTTTAAAACTTTATTAGATATATCTAGAACCTATTAAATACGACCATTAATAAATTGATAGGCAACATTAAAAATTAAAAATGTAAAAAAAGAAGACGAAAAAGAAAAAGAAGGGGGCGCATGCAAACTAATTGCCTATAGAAGGGTGATAAACTAGGGCAATACAAAGAGTTCAAGATATAAATTAGGTTAAAAGTCATGAATTTGTCTCAGGTAATTAGAAAAGCATTATAATTATTTCTTCTGAACATAACTCAATTAGTTAAGGTATATCTAATAGTTAGAGGGTAGAGTGTAAGTGCACACTGTCACAAGTAACAATATGGAAGTATTCCAAGCTCGTCTTCACATGGACTAGTTTTCTTTTTAAGTAAATTTGCAAACCGCTTAAATGAGCAATTGAGTTTAGGATAAAAATATGTGAAATTATTTGGAACACGGTTTAGAAACACAAGGAAAACATAATTTAAAAAGTCAACCCCTTACTATTGTTTCGTTCTAAAAAGATGAATTACACCTACCAAATACGCAAGATATATTTTCGCTCATTTTATGCAAATTGGTTCAACTCCTATTCCATATCGCTTTTGGTTTGTTTAGAAGTTTAGGCTAGCATTTACCAAATGTCTATTAAACACTAGAATCCTAAATTAAGCAAACTCCAAGTTAGGTTTAATGAGTAAGAGAGCTTATGTCTAGGATCTTGTTTTAGTTCTTATTTCTAAGTAACTTCCCTTTCAAACTTGATGAGCTCCGTTTGATTCTAACATTTTCAGAATTAGATTCAAACTATTGCGATTTAAACAAGTGGCCAACAAGAAAATCAACTGGGTAAATTATATCAATTAAGATAAGCAAGATACGCATAATACGTCGTGTTTATTGATGAATGTAATTTAATAAGATATGAACTCAAACATTCGTATGAAGGTTGAAAAAGTAATTTAGCTACTCATGAGAATAAAGTAAATGAAATCATAAGAAAAAATAACAAAAGAGTTCATTTTCATTAAAATTGGAAAACAAGTACAAAATTAGAACAAATCGAATTGCAAAAATAAACAATGGAACAATTAAAAAATAATTAAAGAACTAAACAAAGATTCAATGTTGGAAGAGAAAACAAAGTTTGATAAAAAACTTAGAAATGAAGAACAAAAAGATGGAAGTGTGTTTTGACTCTTTTGGAGGCTTGCATTTATAGGCTTGGATGCTCCTGTTGGAGAATAGTTGGAAAGTTTAGAACAAAATCTTGGACCAACCACTCGCCTCATCTTGCATGATCTTAGGGAAAATAGAGTGGATTTCACAATACTTGGTCAAAATAAGTTCAAACGCGAGTTTTGATAATCTGGGCAAGAAATGCGTCTGGTGCATTTTGGATGCAGCAGAAGATTTCGACAAAATGTGGCTGACACATTTTGACAAAAAAGTCTAGGAATTTGGGAGTGTCATGCATATGGCGTATTTTAATCACCAATCTTAGATTTTCCCTATAAAACAAACATATTTGCATCAATTAACTTGCATTCACCTACGTCTAAGTGCCCGAGTCTTTTATCACAGAATATGTGCATTTCACTAAATTACATGCATGACCATACATTTTTCAACCTAAATAACCCTCAAATAAGCATGACGACATATATATTTTTAGCCTTTAATCAAGGCCCATCAAGCTTCCATTGGTTTCCACCAAACTCACTCTGATAACCATCATCGTCCAACTAATTACCTGTAGATGTAAGATTCATTCGATACTGGGTACATGTCTGACATCTCGCAGTAATAATTTAGTCCCACTATTAGTCTTCAATCGTATGTTTCCAATTCCTTTAGTCTTTGAAAGTTCTTCATTCCCCATCATCGCGTGGTCGCGGTTGCCTCTTCTAAAAAATGTGAATAATTTCCTATTTGAAGATATGTGTACTGAAGCGATGTTGTCTATTATCCACTCCGATAACTGGTTTCTTGTTTTTGTGTTGTTCTCAACATAGACGATGACATCATCTACAACTGTATTTGCCTCCACTATATACTTTTTCATATCCTCTTTTAATATTCTACAGTTTTTTTATGTTGTTTTTTTTGTGGCAGTGAAAACATTCAACATCTCTCTTCTAATCCCTCCTGTTATATTTCTGTTGCCTGTCATTAGATGCAACATTCTCTTTACCTTTTTGAATAGTCATTGCTGAGTCTTGTTTGGAAGTAGACTCTTTTCCCATCACCTTCCTACAATTTTTTTTAGCAATTGTAGCATAAAAAAATTCTGAAAATTTCAAAGATTTGTCTTCTAACAAATTGGATACTGTTGTCTTCATCGTTTCCTTAATTTTAGTAATAAAATAACATTCACTTCATCACTATCGTCAATTGACTGATTAAATTTGTGACTTCATTTATGTGGGAATTGATTGAAGTACTCTCTTCCATGCGAATATTAAAAAATCAATACTCTCTTCCATGCAAAAATTAAAAAATCTTCTTACGAGAAATACCTAATATTAGCTTAGAGTTTTTGGTACCTATTCTCTAGTGCTTTCATCAGATCTCTATTGCCATTGTTTCTTTTACTATGAGATGTGCCACATTCATGGGCAAACACAATATGTAATGACAATTGCTTATCCTTAAAATTTACATAGAATTTCAAAATCATTTTTGAAAAACAAAAAATTAAAAATTAAATTGGTTATTAAATAATCATGTCTTTTAAAAATTAAAAACAAAAAACAGAAATTGAAATAGTTAATAAACACGCCGGAAAATGTTATCAAATGAGTTTTTTCTTTTTTATTAGTTTTCAAAATTTTACATAAATTTTAGAAACGTTTTTAAAAGTATAAAAGTAAAAAATATATATATATATATAAATATAGTATTTACGAGAGAAAAAAAAAACTAAAATGATTATAAAAAGGCTTATCCCATTCGTTAATATCAACAGTTCCAGCCTCAAACTCTTCTTTATTTCTGCCATTTCCTTATCCAATTCTCCCAACGCCCGACTCCCGTCACCTATGGAAGCTATAATAGTCAACGATAATTTTGCGATATTTTAAGACCTATTTACTTTTTATTTTCAGATTCACTCCATTAGTGAATATTTATTTATAATATTTTTAGTATTTTCAAATTTAGAATTTAAAATTTTAAAATACACATTTACATTAAATAAAAATAAAAACATAAAAAATATATATTATTTCATATTATAAATTCATTTCGTTTTTTGTTTTATTAGAATTAAGATATGTAAAATATAATATATTATAAATTACGTTGACGGTGAATTCTGGAGAGGACCACGTGTCCCTCGGATGAGGGTGTGTTCGCCGAGAAGCAAATGATTCTGCAACAACTGGTGGGGTGTCTAGCGTAATACATTTTGATGATCAAATTATTAATCAGAGTAAAGAAATAGGAGTAGACACCAAAAATCCAGTGACAGATTTTTCACTTACTTGGTAGTGATAAAGTCATTCCCTTTTATAGGCACGAAAGGCCGACCACGAAGGATGGTGGTTAGAGGTGTAAGGACACACTGGGCTGTACGAGGCTTTAACGAAGAGGGACAGATGTTTTCGAAAATAAGTGGGTGGCACCTCCGCCTTCTGGTTTGTTCCTTGTAGCCACAGATCGTAGGTTGCAATCATTGACATCTTACCTATACATATACAACTCTAGTAGTGACGTGCCTGTACACATGCACAATTTATGATGTAACTGTTTGTAATCCCGCGCCTCTGTCATCCCTAACGCTCGACCATGTCCTATTCGGACTTCTACCTCAACAAATTATATAATATTATAAAATAATAATTCTACAAAATTTATAACATATATATTAATAAATTAATTAATAATACTTTTAAATTCAACTAAATATTTAGTTGCAAATATAATACTAAGTATATTTAAACAGCTTTTTTTAAAAATACTGAAAATAGAGAAGAGAGTTATTTTGTAAATCTCGGGGAAAGAGAGCGATAAAATCAGATTCTGATTGCCACGTCCATACTATTACGGTACTACCCCCGGTGGACGGAAAGGCTTCGAAACGGCACCGTTTGGGTTTGGAGGTTTCTGTGAAGGCCATGGCCACGTGGTTGCGTTGCTCAGTCTTCGTCCTCAGCTGCCTCTCTCCGCCACGACGCATGGTGGCGTCCTCCGCTACTGTCATCGCCATCGTCCTCTCCGCATTCCTCTCATCTTTTTTCACTTGTTCATATTGAAAACCCTACCAAGTTTCTTTGTCTTTGATTTTGTTTTGTAGATTGCTCGACCTGATTAAGAAGTGGTAATTCGATTCCTGTGTTTCTCTGTTGTTGTTTCACTGGATTTTGTTTTGTTTCGGGTGTAAGATAATCAGATGATGGACTCGGAGAACCAGGGCTTTGAAGAAGCCCAACTGTTTGCCGCAGCCGCTCCCGCTCATGGGGAGATGCAAAATCTGGTTCTCAACGACCAGTTAAGCTCCAAATCTTTCTCTAATTATCGCAGTGCCATCTCCTCGCTCTCCGAAACCCACCACCCTCTGTCCCCGCCGGCTGTCCTTACACCGGCCGACTCCGATCCCCTCCTCGCGCCCTCCGTGGATCGAGATCTCCGAAACCCTAATGCGTCTGATCATTTTCTTTCCCAGCCGCTTCGTTTTTCTGATGTGAATTTTGGTCCCTTCGATGGGAATGATGGCAATGATGTCAACGGTGTTGAAAGCCCCAGCAAGAGTTCGGATAATTCTGGGGGTTTATCCAGATCTTCGTCTTCGAACTCGGAGTATATAAAAATTACAGTCTCGAATCCCCAGAAGGAGCAAGAGGTTTCGAACTCGATTGTGCCCGGTGGTAATTCGTATGTCACTTATCTGATCACTACCAGGACTAACTTAGCAGAATTTGGGGGATCAGAATTCAGCGTACGAAGGAGGTTTAAGGATGTGGTCACACTATCAGAACGGCTGGCGGAGTCGTACAGAGGGTTCTTTATACCCCCACGGCCGGATAAGAGCGTTGTGGAAGGCCAGGTGATGCAGAAACAGGAGTTTGTGGAGCAGAGGAGGGTGGCACTGGAGAAATACTTGAGGAAACTAGCAGGGCATCCAGTGATTAGAAAGAGCGATGAATTTAAGGTGTTTCTGCAGGTCCAGGGGAGATTGCCACTGCCAACGACGACGGATGTTGCTTCTAGGATGCTTGATGGGGCAGTGAAGCTACCGAAGCAGTTGCTCAATGAGAGCTCGGTGGCACCACAGGAGGTGGTCCAGCCAGCCAGAGGTGGAAGGGACTTGTTAAGATTGTTTAAGGAATTGAAGCAGTCCGTGACAAATGACTGGGGAAGTTCGAAGCCTCCAGTTGTCGAGGAGGATAAGGAGTTCTTGGAAAAGAAAGAAAAGTTGCACGATTTCGAGCAGCAGCTCAGTGCTGCATCTCAGCAGGTGAAACTACAAGTTATACTTTATCAGAGTTAGCAAAACTGTTTCTTTGAGAATGTGTATTTGATTTTCTGACTGTTTAATTGTGGTGGAACTTATCTCAGGCTGAATCCTTGGTCAAGGCGCAGCAAGATATGGCAGAAACTTTGGGAGATTTAGGTTTAACATTAATCAAGTTGACGAAATTTGAGAATGAGGAAGCTGTCTTCAACTGTCAAAGAGTCCGTGCTGCTGATATGAAGAATGTAGCAACTGCTGCTGTTAAAGCAAGCAGGTGCTATCGAGAACTAAATGCTCAAACTGTGAAGCATTTGGTAAATTTTTTATTTCCTCATAGATCATTAACTTTAATATTTCAATTTGATCAAGCTGTTTTTAGAACTGCTCTTCTTTTAGTTAATAAATTGGACAGTTAGTATTGCAGAAGAAGCTCAAACACACGTAACACACTTCAACTTATCATTTATGTATGTAGACTATGAACCTTATAGTTGGTTCATGTCCTGATAGAATAATAGCAGATAACTCAATACTCCTGCATTTCATTATAGTCCTCTAATTTTTTCATGGCTATTCATTTTATATGTTTCAGGATGTACTTCACGACTATCTGGGGTTAATGCTAGCAGTTCATGGTGCATTCTCAGAACGCTCAAGTGCTTTACTGACTGAGCAAACTCTAATGTCGGACTTGTCCTCATTGCATTCAAGGGCCGAAAAACTTGAAGCCGCATCATCTAAAGTATTTGGTGGTGACAAATCGAGGATTCAGAAGTTAGAGCAGTTAAAAGAAACCATAAGAACTACAGAAGATGCTAAAAATGTTGCAATTCGAGAATATGAGCGCATTAAGGTGCCTTCCCATCAAATCTTGCAGTTCCTTTTTATATATCTTTTATTGTAGTACTTGGAGGTTGGATTAAGACTTTTGTTATCATCTTTTATTTGTTAATTTCTTTGGGTATTTCAATGAAAGATGCTCCGATTAACATAGGGCTTCTCATTTGGTACGTGTAGAGGTTAAAATATGAACTCAGAGTGCAATTGAATGTCACACCTGTTGCTTATTCTTTAATGGCTGCACAATATGGTAGAGTTGGTACAATGGTATTGCATGTTTAGTAGTAGACCGGCATCTTATTTTACATTGCTTTATAGAGGACCTGGGGGGCTTTATCAAAGACCAAGTAGTTGTGGAATGTACAAACACCAAAAATTTTGACTGCTTTTATTAATTTTTTACTTTATGATCATAGACACAACTTAGTTGGGAGAATTGACATGGTCGAACCCTAGGAGTAAATGAAATCGTTCTCTTAGCATATGGATTGAATATCTGTTCCAGACTTCCAGTCATATTAAAGGATGTAACACAGTGCTTTAAGAGTGATGGTAAAAGAGATGAAATTGGCTTTGTTATCTATGAGGAAACTTAAACCAAACCTGCATAAATCGTCATGGGTTGGCTCAATAGTCAAAGGAGTAAGGTGTGAGCTCATTGACTCAAGTACTTGCAGTTAAAGGGAAAATTTTCTTACTTTTGGGAGGTGATTCATAACTGAATAAATTTGAAGGGAACCAGAGTCCTGAAATTATATCAAAAGATAAAAGGGTAAAAGAAGACAATACTTCCCAAGTGTTTGCGGTACTTGGAAAGTTGGAACCCCACTTTTAAGTATTCTCATGCCTAAACCAAGTTATTGCCACCTTCATCTCCTCCCACTCTTATTTTTAATTGATTCCTTGGCTAATGACTAATATACCCTTCATACTTTAATAATATTTCTAAACTCCTATCCTAATTGTACTCCTAAGAGAATTGCACTTTGTTGCTTATCTGATGCGAGATATCTAGCTTTGGGGTTTTCTCTTCCTTCTTGAACAGTGAGATTTTCTTTTCAAGGTGTCGGGTCTTAAGAGAACCTTTTTTTTTCAATGTTTTGTCCTGATGCCTTTTTTCATAAATTTATCATCACTTTTGTAATATGTTTTTGGAGTAGGGATCCTGTTTCCAAAACCTTGACTCAGTTGCCATAATTTTGTTAGTTATACAATGCAAAATCTAGAGTATTTGCGCTTCTTTCCTGTTTTGAATTCTCAGTCATTTTTTACTTGTAAATAAGCATGGTCCGATGGTGATGTATGTAATTCAGGAAAACAATAGGAGTGAGCTGGAAAGATTTGACAGGGAAAGAAAAGCTGACTTCTTGAGTATGTTGAAAGGATTTGTAACAAATCAGGTACTTACCACCCCGTCTAATGGATGATGCTCAGGTTTTTATCCATAGTTCATCCTTTGTATGATTTGTATGAAGTTAAATTTTACACAACTTTATCAGATAGAACCAATGTCATGAAATATTTTGAAAGCTCATATTCTTCTGTCATTTTAACTCGGTGCTGAAGAATAGCTCTGTTAGTTCAGAAACTGTTGATAATTGGCTTTCAAGATTTCTTTAGGCGCTTTTAGATTCTAGGGGACCTGGCATGGGGGACCGGACATCGATTAGTTGTAGCCGGGCAGATTTTGACAGTTTTCAAAGTATTATTGTTAGAATAAGAAGTAGAAAAGAGATAGAATCTGTGACCTTTGTCGAAATTGATATGAATGATTATGCTACAATTCCGTGACAAATTCTCTGATTGATTCTCTGATTTTTATCGAGATTGATAGAAATGGTTATGTGAACGAAATCGTAGATAAATTCCGTGGTTCCATTATCATCCTTGATGTTAAATTTGTGAGCTTTTGTTGAATAGGTTGGATATGCAGAGAAAATTTCGCATGTATGGGCAAAGGTAGCAGAGGAAACTAGCAGCTATTCAAAAGAGAGCAGTTGATGAACTTTCGTGGCAGCAATTGGAATCCTTGGGAACATTTTTCTTTTTATTTTTTATTTTTTCTTTTTTGGTCTCACTAGATTCATTTTATATCCACTTTGTTGATATAATTTACCATTCTTAAGGTAATAAAACATAAAGAGGAACACTTGGGGAAGGTTTTTTCAACATCTTATTGCCCAAGTTGTGTCCCTACAGAATGTTGTGTTCTCACTCTGAACTGATGAAGTTCATGTGAAACTGAGGTTTGATATTGTAAATTGATCTGTTCTTTTGAATCCTTCAACTTCGGAGTTCGCAGCAGATGTTTCTTGTGGCCGCCGTTGCAGAAACTTGCCTGCATGTCTTCTTCCATCGTTCACTGCAGTATGAGAAAACGACAAGTCGTTCATTTGATCCTATCCAAATGGCATTTTCAAGCATTTTACCCAATTGCCCCTTAAAATATTGGTTTATTATTCCATTTTGTTGATCTTTATGCTCTTCTTCAATTCAATATAGAAATGGTCACCCATGACCATTTCCAATATATTTTTGTAATTTTATAGATCTACTTTTTTTTAGACAAATARTTATGTTTTCTTTTCATTTTACTATTAAAATATATGTAACAATAGTTTTTTCTTTTAAAAGGTGAGACTTTTTGTCTTTTCTCTTAATTATATCAGGACAAAATTTAAGATTTTAAAATATGTAAATGTAAGATAGTATAATCGAAATTAGTTTTGCAACTATTAAGAAGTTTTTTTCTGGGTTAAAAAATATATTTGGTCCTGTAWTTTTATTGAAGTAACAATTTAATTAGTAACAACTTAATCTCTATATTTTAAATTGGTAGCAAGTTAGCACCTGAACTTTAACTTTAAATTTGTAATAATTCAATCTCTATCATGAAATTTTTTTATCAAAAGTAAATGTTGATTTTTATCATAATAACGTTTTAGTCTTAATCATTTATAAACATATTTGGTCGAGTTTATCGACTAAATTTTCTTTTTCGAATACGGAAAGGACAAAAGTCTAAGAACTAGAAGAAGGAACAAGACGAGGCATGGAGGCCCCATAACATCAGCTATCATCAAAGGATAGAGATCAGAGGGAGGGTCTTCACAAAYGTACTAATCGTTAATTCAATGGAAATACATGGACTAAAAGATCCACGTACTAGTTTCTCCGTATTTCACACTTCTCAACCCCTCCCCTTGTGACTAAGACAAATATTCTCTCTCCTTCGTTCATAGGTTGGTTWTTATTATACCAATCAACGTCAATTTAGCCTTTGATTATTTAATTTGTGTTTTTCAGATGAAGATGATTCAATTCAAAGGCTATGTATGATGATGATGTAGCCTGAAAAAGAACACCAAAAGTCATTTGGTCCCTTATTCTTATAGGATTATGAAAGAAGCAAAGCATTCTCTCCTTCCTTCTTTTGAATGCCTTTTTTTCAATCTTTGAATTGCCCTTTCCTTTTCTTTCCCCCTTTGACACTCTCCAAGCAACTCATTTGCTCTCCAATTCCTTCTGACTTCTCKCACTTTATCTTGGAGATGCAAATTTATTATAGGAGGGGTCTATTTTAATACTTAATTAAGTCTAAAGGTTTAATATTTGCAATTACAACCATTAATTTGCCCTAAAAATGTTGTAATGGCCTAACTTGATTCAATCTAACACTACATGTTTCTTCAAACATGAATTATATGAATTTATAATGAACTTCTAGAACCAATTTGACTATCATATTATTCTTCAACAATAATGCTTCTAAAATAAGGACCAAAGGAGGATTTAGATCTAAAAWATAAATTTTAAATCACAAGTGCATCCCTATGTTTCAAACTTTTTTCTATTACAAAAATGTCACAGTRGAGATTTGAATCTCTAATGTTTGAAGAAAGAAGTAAGATACTTAGTAAAAATATATTAAACAAGAAAATTTATTAAACACTTAATTGACATAATAGATATTTTTTAGAGTTGAAAGACGTAGATAAACAAACGAGAATTTTCTTTATTTCCATCTAGAAGRTAAGAAGTTTCAATWAACAGGTTTTTGTCTTAGTAGAATCTTTCTGTAGTATATTTAGGTCTTCTTCCTCGTTACTTAAAAAAAGTGAGCCATCGGTTCAGGTACAAGATACTTTCATCATCACCAGGAGTAGACATTCAACCCGTAATCGCAATAATCCAATTGCAAGARCTCTGAGCCATATCTCTCCAAGCTAAGTAGGACATGCACGAAGGAGTCAGATGCTCTTTCTATTCTTTTATTATTTTTCTTGGTGTAACTGGGCCACTTTGGACTTGAACCAAGGATCTCACCCGTAAAGTAAATCATCACAGCTACGTGAATTTAGAAATATAAGTTAAAAGGAGAAGTTAATTACGACTGAGTTATGATTAGATTAATTGATAAAGTAATTATTTAATAATATTGAGTCAGAGTAACGAGTGAGGGTGAGATATTTTCGTTTTCCCCACAAACGCAAAACCGCGTCCCCATTTTCACCTCCTTCTCTTCTCTCCTCTTTTGGTTTGCAAAACCAAATTTCCATTCACTCTCTCCTCAATTTCCTCACCCTTCGTCTCTTCTTTGCTCTGCTGCTGCTGCTTCCACCTTCTTCTTTCTCATGGTTGACAACGGCGAGGAGAAGCTGCTGGCTATGGCGCGCCACATAGCCAAGACCATGGGCCGTAACGAGTCCATGGCCGATGATATTTTCCAGATTTTCTCCAATTTCGATGCTAGGTTTTCCCTCGATAAGTTGTCTGATAAGGTCGATGAGGTTGATCCCAGAGGCTCCGCCGCCTTGCACCGCACTCTCAAGTCTCTCGACCGCCGGATCTCCCAATACTTGGCCGCCGACCACCCGATTTGGGCCGACTCC